GGGGGGTCGGCTGGAATTTGAATATTTCATAAAACGGGGACCGCTCTGACTCCGGGACGGAGAGAGTGGCATCCCTTCAACTTGAATAATAATCCCCGTTCTCTGGCCCGAGCGGCGATGGACGAGGGGGGTGGGGGCGGCGGAATTACGGACCCCTAATTGTATTTACTTTTTGTCCGTTTCTAAGGTAAACAATAATTGTCCGGAGAAGCGAAAATCTGATAATAAATGACACTCGAAAGCCGTCATTTCGCGTGTCCGGCTCGCGTGTATTATTTAAAAGTTCGCTCGTCTGGAATTCTGCCTTTGCCCTTTCCTACCCTGCCACTCACTCAAAAGCTCCGGCCACCGACGGGTGCATCCTTGCCGTTTCTCGGCTGAAATTAGCTTTTTTCTCGATTCCTTTCAAGGAAAAATGGGTACTTTTTGAGAGAGAAAAGCAATGTTGAACGTATGGACCCTTTACGAGATGAGCCCCGAAGTGTATTTGTGTTTCTATGGTTTCATTTTTGTTTCTTTGTCTAGGCACTTCGATGTTATCATGCAGGAGAAAAATAAAAATTACCCACACGAATTGAAATCTCTGACGAAGTATTCTGAGAGTAAATTTTGTCGCTCCCCAGACGAAAGAACGTAAAGTACATTTCAACGTTGGAAAATTTCTATTCGCAGGCTGCATTTCTGTTGGACTACTATCGGGTGTTTCTACCTGAGTATTTCACCGATTTTCCCCCTGGTAAAGCGTAAATATCGGCAACATTTTGGACCAAAAATTAAAAAATTGTAAAGTGGATTTTTTTTTTTTTTTTTTTTAATATATAAATTCTGAAATCTTGGAAAGAGATTATGCACTTTCATAGCTGGAAACGATGCTCTGTGTTCTAGAAAACAGAAATGGGAAAAAATCCCTAGGGCCATTACCTGAAACACGGTTAACCATACGCCTATCATAAGATAGCACAAATAAACCAAAAACGGAAATGGAGGACTTCGACAGTGAAAGGGCGTAGGAGGCTTAAAATGCTGCGAAAATTGAGCAATTTTCCAGTGTGTTTGCACCAAATGAAATTCATAAACATCCAACTTACTTCCACACAAAAGTGAGAAAAAATCCGGAGCGGTTTCATAGCGGAACTCTCGGAAAGGTTACTCTTAATTGGACGAATTTCTGCCAAACGGAACTATGTGCATTAAGACATGAGCTCTAAGACCCATAAGAATACATGCATAACAGGGCTCACGTAAAAATGCACATAGTTCCGCTTGATACAAATACCTCCGTGTGCTCTTTTACCCCCAAAAGTCCTCTAGATACGCGTTTCCGCTGTTTCACCGTCAATAGGTTCTTCTACTCACCCCAAAATATCAGCGTCCAGTAAGGTCCCCGCACCACGCCTTTCGAATAACCAACTCCTAGCTCAGTGTAATTGGGGTTCAAAATACACCTCTTGCTTCCCGAGCTGTTCATCCACAAGCTCAGAAGATCCCTCGTTGTCGCCTGCGCGGCATAAACGACCTCGCCGATCGAACCGTCGTGGATTCCCACAACCTCCATCATATTCCGCGTCCCTCCGAACCTCGGCGAAACAGGGTCGACGTAGTTGAAATCGCGCATGTCGTCCGACTTCACGCGGGCCAAGCACGAAAGCACTCTGTTTACCTTCAACGGTTTAAGCTGTTGTCCGGTGCGTACCCTGTTCAATAGAGGGACCAACGATGACTCGGTGTAGTAACTCCGGTGGGACTGGTTCACGCACAGATTTTTCAGGTCGGGAAGTTCCATCTTGGAATTTCTCTTGTTCATCTGATGGATACCTATTTTGTCCGAGTTCCGTTCTAACCCACGCGTGACTGCTAGTTTAATCGAGAGGGATTCGTGTTGAAGGATTTTCGAAGTTTCGAATCCCTGCCTCGTACATGCTGCGTTCGGTTTTACGCAAAGAAAAATGTTTGAAGAGGCGGTCATGAAAATGAAGAGAGCTGATGTGAGAGAGGCCATTATTTTCGATCACATTATAGGCTAGTGGGTGGAATAATCGTCGATATATATTTGAGGGATACGGGAAACTTTCAATACTTGTTTCACATATTCAACTTCGTATTCCATAAAAATATCTCTAATTTGTTTTTTGGAAACGAGAAAAAAGAGTGGAAGCATGACGATTCGAGAAATTTTGAGCACTTTCACATTTGAGGCACTATTCACTTCCAATACATGAAAAACAAGTTCAGAGCATTGAGGCCTTCCTCAAGAGACAAAACCACATTTAACTTCGTCATTTTTGGACTGCACGAAACGGTGTTTTTGCAACAAATATTTTTAATTTTGTAATCAGAGAATATAATATTTCACGCAACACACGTAAGTGACTGCAACGATGTGCGGACAGTTGAAACTAGCGATAATAAGTAAAACTGAATCAGGTTCATCCACGACAAGTTGCTCAATAGGCGGATGCTGTCGATTAAGGGAAGCGCTATCAACTGTGGTGAGTAATCAGTGCGCAAACATGATAAACATACGAGTTGGATCGAATTTATTTCTTCTTCTTTTTTTAGTCGACAGTAGACACGATGAATCATATTTTTATCAATAAGAGAAATTTAAACGGAAATTGTGGGGAATCCAAGACAGGAAAAAAACACTTACCAGAATCGAAATTCACTTCGCTGATCATAATCCATCGGGAAGCGAAGAAAAGTTGTATTTTCACGGCACGACCGATTCTATGATGTAGTTTGATAGTGATGTTTCTGGAATGCTCAAAGATCCGATCCTCCATGTAAGTGTAGGTGATTGGATCACCCGTGAAGTACTTTCCGCCAACGCTGAACCACAATTTTGCTTCGGAGAATACCTGCGAACAGAGATCGAGGAAATTCATCAAAAGGATGTGACATAAAAGCAAAAATGGTTCTAAAATTTGATGAGAGGAACAGACAAACTTCCTGGAACGACAATCACACAAAGGACTGATCGCGATTGAATTGCCTTCATTTTAGGGAAAATAAAAGCAGTTAGTTACAAAAACTTCGGAAGATATCCTACAGCCCACTAAATGACTGAAATTGCTCAAAAAGGGCCCATTTCCGAGTTTAGAGGGTGGATGAGAGGATATACTCGAAGACTCCCTCTATTACTACCCTTGCGTAGCGTCAGTAATGATACACGCAAAGTTTCCCCGCACGCCCAAAAAAAAAAAAAAAAAAAAAAAAAACCCAGCCATTTCAGACGGAGAGAAAAGCCGCAGAAAAACCCCACCCCCGAAAATTTGCGCGTTAATGGCTTTCCCCCGACTATTCGCGGTAAAACATGAGTTTCCTTCGTCGCGGCGCAATCAGAGATTACTCCGTTTGATTTATACCCCGGCACGCTACGTCTGGGGGGCACGATTTCGGGGCGGTGGGGGTAGGGGGACGTTTCCGCGGGGTAGTCAATTAAAATAAGATTTCGCCCCTTCGCCACCTCCTCGAGCGCGTGCTGAAACGCGGAAGGAGCGGCGGCGTCAAGAATTTACGCCATGAATAATAAAAAAAAATACCGATTCCTCGTATTCTGTTACCACCTCGCACCCTCCTGAGCCCCGACATCGGCTACTAATAGTGGGAAACTGTCAGCCGGGAAAATATACTGGGACCCTGGCCTCGTCGCCCGGGAACAATGCGCGGCATCCCCCCGGGAGAGGGGGACTTTCAGGGGACTTTGGAAGTAGAGGAGGGGAGGAGAGGGTAGGGGGTGACTTTCGAGATCAAAAACAGACCGGTGCACGCGCCGAATACTAAGTTCCACCCCGTTCGCGAGTGAGCTCGGGGGTAAAAAATATCATCGCCGCGAGGAAAAACGTCGTATGAGTACTTGAACGTTGCCGAATTTCCGACGACAAAAGACGAAGTCTCTCCTTACTCTGGATTTATTTTGTAGAATTACACTCCAATGTAATTTTTCCTTCACGGAAAAAAATATTAGGGGTTATCCCCTAAAATTAGGGCACTGCCCCAATTTGTTGGATGGTGTGGACATTTCAAATTAATTGCGGTAGTACCGTAACTCAAGTTGGGATGGTACCGTGATATTTGGGTTAGGGACCTAATTTATTGGTGCACTACCACTACCACAATTGATTAGGGTACTACCACAATTGGAAATGCCTATATCGTCCAACAAACCCTACCTCTTTTTATTCCGTGTTGTTTTTGCTGTGTTTTTGAACCATTTATAAAGTACGTAACACTCCAAGAGGGGCGTTCAGGGCTGAGTTATTTAACGTAAGAGTGGGTGCAAGGCGCCAATTTTTCAATAATCCAAAAAAAATGAAAGCAAGGTTGCAATTTTTCATCGCAAATTCATCGCAAATTGCTAAGTTGAGGGGAGAAGGGTCAAACTGCGCGTTAGGCAATTTTTTCAGGGGGGTGCAGATCTATGTTACGGGTGCGTTACGAAGAAGAAGGGGGGGGGGTCAAAACATCCAATTTTTAGCGTTACATATTTTATTAATGGCCTCATTAAAGGAAAAATATTTTTTACTTTCCGTGAAAATAAGTATTTATCGGAGGAAGTTCGGCAATGTTCAAAAGCACATACGGGGTTCTTCTTTACGCCACCGTCGCAAAATATGTTCTTCCCGGGGAATATAAATAACCGATGTTATAGAAATGTCATTTATACTCCCCACGCCGCGTCGCGGCCCACTACAAATTACTTCGATATATTATCCACCTGTTCACTCACGTTTCGCTCGCACCCCCACGCGGCCTCCCTCGGCAAAAACCGCACGAATCTCACAGAAATCCTGCGTAGATAGGTGGTTTCTACTCAGCCCGGCGACACAGCTGTCTCTTTCGCTCCTGTAATTGTTTACTTACACCGTTTTAAGCCTCGAGTTCCTTTTTTTCACCCTTTCGCGTGGTCGCGTTTTCCGCGCTCGTTTTCGGGTTTTCAATTTCGTCGAACACGTTTTTCCGCGCTCGAGTAACTTTCCGAGCGAATCTTCCGTCCCTGCTCGACTATCCTGACATTCCTAACTCGGGATCACCTCAGCCAACTTTCTTCCCTTCAGTATTATTCACGTTTAACCCCTATCGTTTACAGCCAGCTTCTTGCTCTTTAAAATACCTTTTAGTTTTCTGAAGTAAGAGATTTGATCAAGTCTAGCTCTCTCGGCATTCAAGGTACCTTGAAAAGCACTGCGAAGAGGGGAATTTGAAAATGTCTGCTCTGCAAACATGGCTAATTTCAGATTCTTACAAGGGGAAAAGTTAATTTTGCGGACTGATTTCTGATCCAGGTACAGACTTCTGCACGAATGTGATCATTTTCAAGGTAACCTTTACCACACTCTTGCATAAAACCTACACCAGTATGGTAAAGGCAACCAGGACTTTGATTACATTTGCCCGAGAGTCTACCGGAGTCAGAAATCGAGTAGACTTGTAGGTCGGCATCCTATACTTATTTTTCCATCCACCACAACTATGCAAATCATTTAATAAAACAAGAACAGGATTCAAAATTAACAGTAAGAGCGACCACTTCTTTTGAAAGGTGGAGGCGGAGGGTCCACGACTGGAAACGGACGCCGTATGGAATAAAGATAACCATTTATTTATTTGACATGTCATTTTAAACTACGGTAATCGTTGCAAAAATTGGTGAATCAGCTACGACTCAAAATCAAATTAGTGTAATATTTCCGACCTACTTTGTCGGCTGCCCCACCAATTTCTTCCTCCTAATAATGAGACAAAGAAGAGAAAATTGTGGTATAGCTCTGTAATAATGGATGATTTACAATGGCACATCGTTTTACGGGTTTTAGAGGTGATTACTGGTATTCTCGATTACACGATACAGAGAAGTTGCCAAATTTGTTTTTAAACATTTATTTTTTAAAACTTTGTACGGAATCGCAGTGCGAAATTTCAGCTATGAGCCCATTCACCCAACACACATTGTAAATAAAAGAAAACAAGGAGAAACATCCAACATGAATATGTTGGAAAAGCGTGCCGAACAACTGAAATTTCGGAGACATGAGCTTGAATGAATCGCTGAACCAAGAGCTAATAATATCAGCTGTTTTGATATGGCATTCTATCATGGAGTAATGCATAGGGCTCATGTTGTATAGTCAATGGGTACGAAGCACCCATTAAAGTGCGGCGGGAAAAAATATTCTAGATTCAAATCGCTCTAGCGTAAAAAAGGGTTTTTGAAGGATCTGTCAAATGAAATAATACGGTTTTGACCGGAAAATGTTCTCAAGGGTTTCCAATCAGCAGTTCATTCAGTTTTTTGGTAAAAGACCATCAGGGCTTGGCAGTATAACGGTTCAAAGACAAAAAAACGGGTCCGAGGAAAAAATATTTGGACGGCCCGTTGAATAGCATTGGTTTATCGGTGTGCTGTACTATGGTACATCCAAGTGATTTCAAAAAGCGAGCCCTACTGGCACGCTTAAAAGACTTCGTTCACATTGGTGTGGTGAGTTAGCTCAACTGAATGATCAGGTTCCAAAAGAAAAAAGGGTTTAGAACGAATTGTTTAGAAATATAAACTTTTCTCGTCTTCGAAGAATCCCAGAATTTCGGGATAATTTTTATTCTAAAAACTTGGTGTTTTGCGCGCTTTCCTCAAAATCCATGGATAAAACTAGACTTTTTTGCACATTTCAGAGGTAAACTATGAATTTTTTCAACTTTCAGCTAATTTTTCGCCTAATTGCTTATTGCTGAGTCAACGCAGACCACCATTTTAAAACACCAAAAGGTCTTAAAAATGTAGGAGCGGAAATTCCCGATTTTTTAAGTCCGATTCTTTAGTGAGCCTTCAAATTCCCACCCCCTATTGCATCCCAGATTACAAAAAGCCCTCACACCTTGGAGACTTGCATAAAAAAATACTAGGCCGCACTAAGAAAAAAGTATGGTAACATCTACTATTAATCTACTTGATTTTTTACACAGTGACACTATTCAGTGAAAATAACCAGAATAACAACAGTAAAAACTAGAATTCTGATGATACTTACTATAATATGGTAAATGCCACCATAGAGTCTGGTGTTAATCACCATAATCGGATCACTGTGTCAGAGTATTGTAAGATATACCATATTTCTTTTACAGTGCGGTCGCCCACCGCTGAAAAATAATTTAAGGAATACCGAGCCAACCCGGCAACAAAATCGCTAGGGGTAAGAAAAGTTCAAACGACCACGGAGCCAGGTTAATAAATTTAATAGGTCCAGTCGAATATAGGTTGCCGTGGACCGCAAATCTGTCGTCCAGGAATTGCCCGGCTCTGAGATACGAGCCTGGCTCGTACGAAACCGAGCCGGCCGCCATAAATATATTATCCATAAAACCGGTGAAATTTAATGCTCGAAAGGCACCGCGGCCGCCGATGCGCTTACAAAATAATGGAAACCCATAAAAAGGTTGAGAGCGTACGTGGAACGACTTTGAGGTTAGGTGCAGGCCGAGATGAAGCTGGAGTTGCGAGGCGGCCGAGCAGGAAGAGGGATATTACAGAATACAGATGCGCGTCGCTAATTATGGGATGAGCTCGCTTACTGTGCGGTAGAGAGGCGTGGAGTCCCTGATTTATAATGAAAGTAAAAGGGTCTCAATTTTCACTGATTGCGACCTGTTATGCCTGGTTTTCAGTATCGGTCAGAATGAAAATCTTTGCAGAGGGAGTGTGTGGAACCCATCAGGGTTCATAAAAAGGTTGGACGGGAGGGGAATGTTGCATCTTCGACGGTTGTTACTTGCTGCACTTGTTGCCTACAAGGTTCGTACTAACAGTTTACTTTGGGATTTCCTGATTTTTCCTGATATTATAAATGCGATTTCCAGA